AAGCATACATCTGCTTGTAGATATTCTAATTTCGGAAGATTTAGGTGCTCAATATTTTCAGTATGAGGGCAAAAGACAAAAGGCCAGGGTAGGTGAACAGAAATTTAGGTACTTCCTCCGCGTCATCGAAATTGTCGCAGTTTGACTTTTGATGTAAACGGGGTATTTACTCACCAGCACTCGTACCAGAGGCAAGGAATCGAACATAGGCGATAGTCATCAGTATAGGGTGACGGCAAAGTTCTATTTTCTGTTATTGGAAGCTGGAATTTTTGAACTAGACGCAATTTCTTCGCTGATGTCGCTGTGATGGTAATTTCGACTCGCTGAGATCAGTCAGGCGTTGCAGCCTGCACATTTCTCGTGCTTGTGGCCATTCACTCAAGCCTCATCACTGTTTTACCTTATCTGGGGTGAGAATGACTTCGTGGAACAAGTGGCAGCGCTTGGAGAAACATCGAGGGGTCAGCAAACTAAATGCCTGCAACAGCGATAAAATGTGTCACTCTGGCTGAGACACTCAGTACATGATTGTACCTGCAAGAGCTGTGCAGACTCTACACGTAGTGCTAGTGATAAACGCGCAGGTGCCGTACCATGGTATACCAGTGATACTGAAAAAGAGGGCGCGCTGGACATGATAGTACACTTACCTGCATGAGCTGTCACCACAGAGCTAAAATAAATGGGCATGCCACGGCTAAAAAAAAGCTCATTTCAAGATCGAGGTGATTCCGCCGACAGTAATCAACCGACCTCGCAACGATCGTGTATTCTTACTAGGCTTCGTTGGTGGTGAAGTTGAAATCATCCAGAGTTAGCAGACGACACAAGCATAGCAGCTCTTGTCCTGTGGAGAAAGTCAAAGCGTTTGAGATGAGGCGCGACCAACTTTCAACCTTCCTTGAAATATTTCGGAACGATATTTTGGGTCCATTGACATCAGCGACGACGAGGACTTCATCTCTGCACGAAAACTCTCAGTCCGACTGTCCTGGAACGTTTCTCTAGTCTTCAGACTATCATACTGTGTAATACGTTTTGAATGGCTTAGCTTATGGAGTTGTCAGTAACAAGGGATAAGTCACTAGTCAAACTGCGACAATTTCGATGACGCGGAGGAAGTACAGAGCAGCAGTTCCCTCTTGGGTTATGTGTGTTACTGCTTGTTCGGTGTACAGGAATTTTAGGTACGAAACAGATACACCGAAAGTACCGAAAAAAAAAGTACACCGAAAGTTTGTGAAATTACAGTACTCACAATTTCTATCCACATTCCAGAGTCTACTTAGAAGATAGTGTTCCACAATGTGTATTGTCATACCATTACGGGATAGTCCAAACAACTAGTGAAGCCTGAGGTAATCCCAATGCATACCAGCCTATGTAACTGCTCACCCTTTCATGCATTCGCGTTCCGAATATGTCTCAATTTCCTGTGCCGGGGCATGTGGATTCGAAGGACCATAACGGTTTATGTTGGGGCTCGAGGCTTGAGGCAGTCAATCGATGAGAAAATTATTCACAATTTTTTAAATTTCTTTTCATTTGATTACAGCTACGCTACACGGGTATGCTGGAAACAACACGTATTCGCCGAGAGGGCTTTGCCATTCGTCCAGACTTCAACGAGTTTGTGAACCGCTTCAAGCATCTGGCACCGCTGAAGATCGGCCAGGATGCAAATGGGTGAGTGGAATGTTTGTGCGCTTCGTTTTTCTTCAGAGTAATAGTTTCCGGGGGAGCAACCCAGTTTAATCACATGGTGCACAACATGATGTGTGGTCATCTTCAGGGGGTCCTCCAACTCACAGAGAGAACCGTAGTTGACGAAGAAGCAAACCATATTTCCCCGAGTTAACATTGAACTGGATTATAAGCCGCACCCAGGTTTTTTTGTCACGAAATACAGACATCTATCCTGTATATCACCGTTCGTTTTAAGGGGAAATTGTACTCTGATCAGGGGCATTTGCTTTTGGCTGACGAGGTTGTTTTCCATTGTGTTGTCATCATGGGGTTTGCTTGTGCGCGTGTGTGTGTCTGTGTATGTGTGTGTGTGCATGCATGAGTGTTTGTGCGTGTGCATGTATGTGTGACTGTGTGTGGCCGTGCGCGCATCTGTTGGTGGGTGTTTCTTCCTTCTTTCCTCTCAATTTCTTCATCCTGTCCAGTGCAAGAAAGATTCTGCAGGCTGCCGATATCAAGGGTTACCACATTGGGTAGGTAATCGTGTGTGTGTGTCTGTCTGTCTGTGCGTGCGTGTGTGTGTGTGTGTGTGTGTGTATGTGTGTGGTTGTTGGTATGTCTGTTGGCTCTGGGTTCCCAGTACTCAGTAGCCGAGGCTGGTTGGTAAAGTAACTCCAATTTCACTGCAAGGTACCAATGCATTGTGGTGATATTGTAGCACCTTTCCCTGCATGGGTCTTGGCACTCAGGCTGCTAGTGCTACTGTTCGCACCCTAGGCCCTGCACTGCTGTACCTCTGGCGCCTTGCACATAACACATTCACATGTCACCTTTCAAGCCGCCTTTGCAGCCAGCTTCCCTTTAAAAGCCATTGCGTTTTACTGATGATTCATTCTCATCTTTCGAAGAGTTGGTCTGCCTTGAGCAGGACACAACAGCATCTAGTGTCTGCTTCTATCAAAGCAGCATGCTGTCTATACTGGTTACCCCAGCAAGTGTAGGGTGTGCATAGTTAACTGTCTTGGCCATTTTATGCAAATGTACTCCGTGTGGTGTAGACCAGGTGTGCATTGGTGGTCAATTTACATGGCTTCGCCAGTTGTGTGGATTGGACAGTTATCTGGTGCAAGTCTTGATCTGTCTCATTCAGATCTTGTTTGCTATCGTTGCTATAAGAGAAAATCTGTGGGTGCACATCCAGTGCATTTGCAGATTTGCGTGCTTCTCTTGCGACGGGCGTATACATGGTACATGGTATGTGTGTGTGTGTATGTATGTGTGTGTGTGTGTTTTGTGTGTGTGTCCGTGTGTGTGTGCCTTTCAACCGACTTGAGACATGCACTGTGACTGTTTATGTAAAAAGAAGCAAAAATATGCTGTTAGTTTCTTCGGTACTCTCAAAATGTATTTTGGCACAAATGTCCTTCAATTCCTGTGTTTATTTTTGTATGTGTATGTGTGCGTGTGTGTGTGTGTGTATGTGTGTGTGTTTCTGGCCTTGTGTGTGTGTGTGTGTGTGTGTGTGTGTGTCTTTGTGTGCGTGTGCATGCTTGTACGGGACGTGCAGAAAAACCAAGGTGTTCCTGAAGTACTTTCACATTGATCAGCTGACGGACAAACTGGAGAGGATTCACAAAGCAGCCACTATGTGGCAGAAAGGTACAATGTGTTGCAACTAGCTCTCTATGTCAGGAAAGAATTAAAGAGCTAGTTGATTCAGTTATTGATTGGTACAGCCTTACCCTGGCTGTTCTTACAGTTTGTGTATGATGTAGTGGTACACATAACCTCCTTAGGGCGCGTTCAGACTACCGTGAACCCCGTCAAACCGTGAATGGCGATACACCATGAAGGACATTCTCACTACCAATAAACTAACGTTACCGTTACGTAAGTTGCAGCTCTAACCGCGGCACTGATAAGGGATTTCCCCTTACTCCCAGCCTGAGCACCTTTTGTACTGCGGGAATGCTGTTTCCGCCGCAACAGCCGCGGCAGTAAAATGTTTCTGCCGGCAACATGCCAGTAACGTCACGTCGTAGTTTCTAACAAGCACGTACAGTCAACTGAAACATAGTGCCTGGATATGTAACAAGTCTACACTCAAACTTGCATGTGTTGACTTGAATGCATCCAGTTCTCGATTATGACTTTGTGTATGCAAAGGCACAAGGATGATAGTGACACAAAGCAAAATCGACTTCCAATATGTCACCACGTGTCTACCTCTTTCCTTGTATCATTGTGTTTTAGTTCTCCGTGGACACGTGGATCGTCGCCGTGTGAAGAAGCTGCGTGAAAAGGCCAAGCAGGAGAAACAGCAGGTAGCTGACTTCCTGGTGCAGCTGCCCAGTAATCTGGTCAACACCAGCAAGCGCATGCAAGCCATCATGGCCGCTGACTTCAAGCGTCCTCACGGTGAGTGGTATTTGACACATTCCATTAATTCCAGTCTTGGCAGTCATGAGTTAGTCGAGTCTAGAGTCAAGTTGGCGAGTAAAGCGTGAGCACGAGTGTTGCAAGCGTCCGACCTTCTTATAACTATTATCGAAGTTTCAACCGCCATTTTGAACATTTTTTACCCCCAAAAATCACTGCGTGTGACTGGAGATTCGTGGCTGTTGAGGAACATGAACTAAAACAAGACTTTGGGAGCGCTGAACGATTTCAGCGATTTCCCGGGGGCTGCTCGTTACAGTCACCTTCATGGTAGGGCTGACTTCTACACGCTTGCAGATAGCATCGCTGGTGTGGGCCATGCTAGGGATCATGGGGTCAATGGCGCAATAGTGAGTTGAAATGACCACTGATCACGTAGAACTTCAGGGCTCACAGCAACCATGCCAAAACCTCGATTACGTGGGAGGACATCTTGGATCTGATCACCATAGAAACGAACTCGCGTGACCGCTAAGCGCAGGCGTAGAACGCAGTCGCGCAAGGAGATTTTGACTTGCTTGGGCTTAGTTGCTGTGACAAGGACTGAGTCGTGAATGGTGAAGGAGATAGCCGGAGACTGTCTCACCATCTCTATTTCATTTCGGTAGTTCTTGTTTCCTTCCAAGTGAATTATTTCGCGAGCAGTGTTGGCCTTATCGGCCGAAGGCTTCATTCAGACTGTCCGCACACGGAGTCCTGCGAAAAGTAGCCCCGAGCAGAATCCTGCAGTCGTTGACGAAAGAGTTCAACATCTACAGCCGGGCAGCTACGCCGCTGATGCACAGGCGCGGGTGACGGGAGAGGGAAAGGACTAGCATTCCTTGACGGCATGGAGCAATGACTCACGTCGTGTTCTAGTTTTAGTTTCTCCGCCGTGAAGTCCTGCTGTGTAAACGTAAATATACGGCTGGTCTGCGAAGAGCCGTGTAGCGCAGTGGTGACGATGTGGAGTTGTGAATTATTTGATTCGCCACTCCGTTTCGTTGCAAGAGAACAAGTCCAATGGCTTCGCCGTTGTGCTGGCCATGTATTTCTTCGGTCTGCCATAACCATGATAACTCCTGGAGGACACAGCGATGAAGCGCCAGGCGAGTAGCAAAAACATTTCAAAAATTGCTTTGCTGCTAGTGTTGTTTCCGCATTCACAACAAGTGCGGCGCGCGCGGTTCTTCCTCGCGGCTGCACTGCAGATAGGGTTGCCTTTGAAATGTTCGTTTGTACCCGTCTCTGGCCCGATTTTGATGGCCAATAGCTTAAAATTTTCAGTAGGAAAATTAGAAGAACTTCTCCGAGAGACTTTTCAATTTTAGTACAACAATCCAAATCAGAATTACGCCTGCACCAACTGATACTTTGGCTCCATATATACGCCAAACCGTATCGATTAAAACAAAAAACTCTCGGACAAATCCTTACAATGGGTATTGAGAGTATGTTCCTAGAGTTTCAGAGGCCTAGGGAAAAGCATTGGTACAAATGAACATTTTGAATGCACCCCACTTTCAAGTTTTCAGAGATATCTGCCTGATAGCATGTACACGATTCTGGCATGCTGGCTGGCTCGTGTGACAGCGGCCTGTCCAAAATGGCGCCCACGCTTTTGTGTGATGCTGTGAGCCCTGAACTTCCCAATGCGGGATCAAAAAGCGCATCGTTTCGTATACTCGTGCTGTCTCCCCGTATGCTACAACTCCCTGGTACGCACTGCATTCCGGTGGTGGGAGTACGGTGTGCTGTCAATGCACATTCCTAGTTTGACTACGGTTCCAGTGGTGAACTCTTTTTTCCAGGTTTTAGGACTTTTCCAATATGGTACATTGAGCAGGCGCGCGAGGAAAACGTTGTCTGAGTAATATCATTCCTTTTTTGTTTGCAAGGCACTAGTAATCCAATACACCACACCACTAGTAATCCAAATACACCACACCGCTAGTAATGCTGCGATCACAAACAAGTCCATGCAGTGAGTCTCCGTTTCAAACCTCTTCTTATGTTGATGTGATGTGTTTAGACTATTTCAAGGCCAAGGCCAAGGCTAAGGAGCCAGCCAAGCCTCTGATCGCCCTGAATGACATGCCTCCACCGTTGCCTCCCTTGGCTGATGAGGTGAGCCATTGACGATTTTAGGCACTGAACACACACCTGGTCTTGTCTCAATTGAGTTTTTTATGATATATTTCATTTTATTTTATAACTACTATCACAGCCCCACTGAAAAGATATGGAGAACAAAAAGAAACAAGAAAAAGGACACAACATAGGGGATATAGGGACGACGTGCCGATGTGTTGGGAGCAAGTAGAGTTGTTCTATCAATCTGTCAGCTTGCAGGTCGACCGGAACCGGTCCGGTTGGTCAGGTCATCACCGGACCAACTCGTTGGCCACCAACTCATCCTTTCTATTGCAAAGGCTATTGTGTACCTGCCATATCATACATGACTTGTGAAAGGCCAAGTTTCTGCCGGATCAATCGAAAACTGCTTCAGGCGGTCCTGACCGGTGGGTCTTTACGATCCATGCAGATACCTGTTGTATTTGAAAGTACCAGTGACACCACCAGGAGACTAGTATTTGTGTAATGGCAAAGTTTGTCGCTAAATTCTCTGATTTTTGGAAGCCTCATTTTGGCCGAATTGGAACCCATTTTAAATGAATTTGAAAAATAGAGAATATTCAAATCAGGTTTTCCCGTAAAGTGATTGCTCTTTTCTGTCACCTCCCAACGTCATTCCTTTTTCCAGAAATTCCCCCGTGATGATGATGAGGATGACGACGACGACGAGGATGAGTTTGATGAGAACGACGAGGTGAAGCCCATGCCAATCTCCAAGAAACACGGTGCAAAGTTTGGTCGCGAAGGCACCAAGGCAGCGTGAGTCATACAATAGAGTTGTTGTAAAATGGCTAATTTTGGTGCTAATTTTGGTGCCGGTGACACTTTAGCGATTTTAGCGAAAGGAATGTTTTGCTAAAGTTTAGCCGTGCCAATCGAAATTTAGCTCTAGCTGATCTACTCACCTCCCACCATTAAGGAGCTGCATCTGCGCCTTTGATCCTAGAGGGCGGTGGCGTTCCCACGGCAGATGCGGAAAACTCATGCGAACCGTGAAATTTATTTAAATTTATTTGGTGCCGGTAATATTTTAGCAATTTTGGCGAAAGGAATGTTTTTGCTAAAGTTTAGCCGTGCCCATCGAAATTTAGCATGACTGAGCCCCGGCCAGCGAAAACCAGCACTTGTGTACTTGATATCAATCATCAAAATGTGACGTCAAAGTTTGGGACGCGCAGTGAGCTTGCTTTTGAAGATTCTTTTTCGATCGAGTGGGTGTCTTGGTTGTCAAAGGAGTTTCAAGTTTCTTCAAATGAGTCTGGTCAATAGATTTTAGTGCTAGGTGAGAGCTCGTCAAACGGAGATTGAGTTTAGACACAGCGATGGCGACAGGTGTCGCGACAAGGACTTAGGTCCAGAGTTGTCAGCGTGAGACTCCCTGTACGAAGCGGCGCTGAAAGTTAGTTCGCGATCGGAATTATTTCTTTGGTGGCGATCTCGCTGAGTTTGTCCAGCAGTGGCGAGTCTCATATTCATAGCAACGAAGAGCCCTCATAAAATCGACACTGGATACTGGTGGCGACGATAGTCAGTGCTGGAGTAATAGCGACTGCGAGAAGCTGAATGTCGACCCGCTGAGCGATCCGTATTTCTACATCGACAACAATGATGTTCCAGACACTGATGGAGGGCTTCTCACGGCGCAAAACAGAGCGTAGTATTATTAGTACAGTACTCTACCTTGCCAGACGACGCCAAGCTGGCTGCTGCCTGTGCTGAGAAAGGGGATTCCTAAAAAGTCAAACCGGCTGAATGCTTTGGGGCAACATCTTCACGTGCTACAAAACGCGAGTATTCGCTCATATCATCGAAATACAATTATGCTGAAATCATGGTCTTAGTGAAAGTGTGCAAGGGAGTGGATGTCAGTGGTATTGGTCAGTACATCTATCAGTATGGCAAGCTTTGGGACAACGCTCAAACTGCCAGCACAGAGGTCCCTGAACACAATTTGGAAGACCAGCCACCAATCATCGTTTTGCACTCTGGTGTTGTAAAGAAGGTAGCGGTGTATACGGAATATCGTCACACTTCTGAACTACTCATGCCTGCAGCACCAAGAGGGCAAGCCTGACTTGCATTCTATTTACTTACATGTACCTGTTCCACATCACAATCAGAAACTGTAGGATCAACTTGCATGGAGTCACTGGGCATGGATGCTGCGCCAACTGTACCGAATTTTGACCTGTGTGACTTCAAACTCTATTTTCCAAGCTTTGGCTTATCAGATTGTCACCAAACTTGATAACTTGAATGATTATTAGTGTAGAATCAATTTCGAGCGAAAAATTTTTTTTTGAAAAAATTACACATGTTCAGGTTTCTGCTGGCTGGGGCTCTAGTGATCTTTATTTTTTTTAAATTCTGAAACTCAGATCACTTTTAACCCTTTATGTACGGAAAAAATGTACATAGACTGAATTTGATTTTGACTCAACTCGAATTCCATAATTCTCCGGGTCATAACTTTAGTCTCCTTTTGACGATTTTTTCAATCTTGGGCTTCTTGGAAAGCTCGTCGCAAGAGGAACACATTGAGCCCACGCTTGCCACCATGAAGGTCAAAACGCCAGCGCTACAGCCCAGCGTATTAGCTGCAACGCCAATATGCCGACAGAAGTCGTCTTGTATCAGCCATTTCGCTCTCCTTGCTCGTAACAACTAGCTGTTACTTCAAAAAAATTCACGAGTCCGTTTACCATTTTGAACGTGTTTCTACATCACTCCATGCCCAGAATGATGGGGAAATCCCTCATTCAAATCTGCGCAAGCGGCTATTGAGCGACATTTGCCGCGATTCGACTTTCGAGCTTTGTAACTATGGAACCGCACATCGGAGCGCTTCAGCGATTGTTTCAGTGGACAGCTCGGAGTTTTCTCTTCGACCTACATATTTTAGTTTTTGGAAATAACCCAGGAATGACTGAGTTACGATCGATTGTAATTTTGAAAAGTTTCGATCCCAGGGGATCGAAAGTTGTACAGTCTGTACACAAAGGGTTAAAAAACTTCATCGTGAATTGGTCCAGATTCAGAAAACGCTAAATATTTTAAATATTTTATCCACTAAAATTCGCCGTTCTATTTTATGGGATTTCAGTCTATACCTTATTATATTGAAAGATGCAAACGGGAAAAGTCTGAATAAGAAATAGACTGTCACCAGCAGGGCTCGTGCCAGGGACCCTCACTTATGGCCAGCAATGCTCTACCACTAAGGTATGGGGTAGCCGTCATCCAAGCAGCGAACGGTCTAAATTTTTATCAGACTTCAGTATATCTGTTAGCCATTACCATATTCAGGAAGAATTATATTTGTAGCACTGTGTAACTTGATAGCAGGAGGGTTTCTCTAATTTCTGAAATTTTCGGTGCTCAATATGTTCGGTATGAAGGCAAAAGGCCAGGTTAGGGGAACAGAAATTTAGGTACAGAGAAGCAGTTCCCTATTGGATTATGTGTGTTAGTGTTTGTTCGGTGTATTGAAAAAAGCATGAAACAGACGCACCAAAAGTACCGAAAATAAAAGTACACCAAAAATTTGTGAAGGTCCAGTATCATTCTATAACTTGAAGTCACGATACTGGTGTGAATGAGGTTGCCGGAGAGCGTGTGCGGTGGAGGTGGAACCACTTCACCATGGAACTTCAGTAATCCACTGAAGCAATGTGTCTTAGGATGGAAATGGGCAATTTTCTTTGGTGCTTGTTGCAAGAGAGGGACCTTCCGCCTGATTAGCTTTGCTACAATTGAGCAAATAGGTCAGCAATGAACCACCACTGTGTTTCAATTTTCCACATAAGCACCATGCCTGGGGTAGCCTCCTAAGAAGTTAATCACTATCGGTACATACTTGCATGATGAACATTAGTGATTAGAGCGATTACGTATCTGTAAATGCTGTATGTGTGTCTGTCTGTTTGTCTGTCCCAATGTCTACTTGCAGCTCTGTGCGCTGGTTCAAAGAGACCCAGGCCAAGTCGGGTGCGAAGAATGAGGAGGGAAACTTCCAGGATTGGTTCCACGGCATCATCACAAGAAGGTGGGTTTGGGGCACTCTGTTCTGTTCGTTCTATCTTTGAAATAACTCTTCCTGTCTCGGCCTTCGTGATATGTTAGTGTTTTGAGAATGGACTCGGATGGAGAGCCAAGGATAAATTTATAGAAAAAATGATCAAGGAACTGCAAGTTACGCTATAATGTCCACTAACACGACCAGTTACTAAACAATCAGCTCATGTGATAACATTGCACGACACTGATCGACGGTACTGACTGTTGTTTTGAGAGGTTGTGGATATGCTCATGACCCTCTTTCACTGTCATCTGTGCGCGCGTGTGTGTGTGTGTGTGTGTGTGTGTGTGTATGTGTGCGTGTGTGTGTGTGTTTATTGAGCAGGCGTGCTGAGCAGTTGCTGACCAACAAGGACATCGGAGCATTCTTGGTGCGTGTCAGCGAAAGCCGTTTCGGCTACTCCCTGTCTTTCCGGTAAGTCAGATTATTTTTTGTGTGTGCCGTCAAGTTTGAGAGATAGAGATAGGTAGAGACAGAGAGCGCGTGCATCTGTGGAGGAAGGGGGGGGGGGGCACAAACTTGGGTGCGTATTTGTGTCATGAGCAAATTCGAAACATTGATATTCATCCATGTACTGGCGGCCTGCATTTGAGCATATGTGTCTTGAAGTACCTAACCATTGCATCACTTACCCAGCACAACACATCTCAGTACAGTACTATCCCTTTCAAGTTGATAATCTATACATGACTGGCTTTTGGTGGTGTGTGTTTTGGTGGTGTGTGTTTTGGTGCTGTGTATAGAGTTGCCACACGCGTGAAGCATTTCATGATCGACCAGACCATGTCGGGCAAGTACATAGTGGTCGGCGAGCCCAAGGTTCACAAGAGTCTCCACGACCTCGTCGTCTATCACCAGCGGGTAAGCATTGCTGATGGTGTGACAGTCATTCGATCTGTCTATTTCCCTCACTTTATCCCATAGCACAGTAGGAAACCATGGATTCAGCCAATCAGCAGCCGTTATTTCCGGGGAATATAGCACGATATTCCCCGGAACTCCGGGGAATATACATTCGTACCCTACCGTATTTTCCAGAGTACAGTTGGACCTCCCTTAACCGCACACATCCGTTTTCCACAAAACAATATCCAGATATGCGAGGGAACCGGATAACCGAACACCGGTTATGTTGGATGCATCACGTATGCTGTAAATCTGTAACCAGCCATTCTCTTCCGGATGGCGAGGGATCCGGATAAAAGAGGTCTAACTGTATAAGATGCACTTGGAACGCTCAAAATTCACCCAACGAAAGGGGGATGCGGCTTATAACAGTTACCATGACGACGATCAAATTAGCGGTGATAAATAGGGTGGATGTATGTATTTCGTGTAAAAAAATGGGGGTGCGGTTTGTACACCTGAAAACACGTTAAAGTGAAAACGTGTCAATGTCAAGGTGACCACTCGGATAAGGCGACCACCTGTCCTAGAAGACCACTGCAACGAGGACCAGTGGATGCTATTTCCAGTCAAATGACCCTGGATAAGGAGACCACCTGGTAACAGGGACCACATTTTGAAGGTCGCTTGAGCGATCGTCTTAGACAGGTTTCACTGTATCTATCTCTTTACTCAATCTCCGGACAGCTAGCTGTTTCAACCTTGTTCAGTCTCACTAGTGAACCTTGAAGAGACTAGCTAAGCCGGTCGCAATGAAAGCTAGTCGACAACCTCTTCTCTACCTCGGATGGAGAGCCAAGCATAGATTAATAGTAAAGAAAAAGGACCACGGAACTGCAAGTTACGATATAATGTCCACTAACATCACCAGTTAATAAACAATCAGCTCAATTCCTTGGTTCTTTTTCTTCTCTATCTCTTCCCATGGCTGCTACATATCTTGGTTGGTATTAGGGTCCATACAGTAATCCTTCTGTAATCCTTAAGAAGTTTTGAAAGCCAAAAAGGCCACACCAAGCTGCTGGATTAACAAGCCCGATTTTCTGTTGTGGTTTGAGTGAATGGGAAGTCTTGCCGCCTGAAAAAAAGTGTGTCGCTGGCTGATGCTTGCAGGTTGACAAGGGTAGCGATGAGCAGGCATTTGCTACTCTGCAAGAACAGTTGTCTGTATGCGAAGCAGGCGATGTCCTGCATGTCAAGGTTGCTAGCATGTAAAGTAGAGGATTTGATGAGCCATGACCGTACTCATCTTGTCTCTCAACACACGGTATGGTTGATCTGCACCGCGGGGAAACAAATTCGCTTGTTCCCTTACATTTTTATTATTTCCACCTTTTTCTTGCCTGTCTGGGAACCAATGTTTGAAAAGTTGACTTGGCAACTGTACACAAAGCAGACTACTACTACTACTTCATGCAAGCGGTATGCATGAATTGGAGGTGGTAAGGCATTATAAAACGCAAGTTTCAAGTTCACCTGTACTGCCCAGATCCCGTCACTTCAGCGCACTGGGTGGCGGTAACGTGATACCTGTGCTATGGAAAAGCGACTACAAAATCATGTGTGAGCGTGCCCTGTCATCTTTGTTCTGGGTAGGGTTCAGCAACCCACCCCCAACCTGCCCATGGATCTCGTGTGCCGATACCCTGCCCGTGGATCTCGTGTGCCGATAAGAAGCAGTGCTATCACGCAAAATTCAGAAAGCGCAAGCGCACCGAATTCCGGGAAATCTACCGGAAGGATCCATACACCGTTTTACAATCTCTTGCCAAGCTTCACCATGACACTACACTATACTGAATAAGAACTCATTATGATGAGCCAAAGAAAATCTGACCGTTCAACATCTGGTCTACTGGACTCTAATGCCATTCTCGTGCCCCACTGTTCTCCACGTTTTCAATATAACAAAGCTTAATGTTATCTCGTTGCTTGTGTGTTGTGTGTATGATCATTGCTCAGTGTGGCATTGGCGATGAACACGAACTTCTGTCGGTGCCGTGCGGTCAGGATAGCGGTGACGACGAAGATGAGTTTGACTACGCCGATCTGATGGATCATGGTGGTGAGCAGGCGCTGATGTTCCGCAGTCCGTCATCCACGTCATCCATCGGCCAATCACCAAACATGAGACGCAGGGTAAGGGTCTATTTGCTAGATCTGCAATTTTAAAAGGCTTGAACCGCCAGATCCGAAAAAGTTGGTTCATATTATAGTTTTGCAGTGTTGAGATTTTGATACTCGTATCTAATTCAAATTCTAGCCATCCCACACCCCGACCTCCAACCTCTCCCGGACTGATTACTTTTATAGCATATCCCGCCTATGAACTTCACGCCTGAAATGATTGGTTAACCAGCCTCGGCTAGTAAGAGCTGACAAAGAGTTTTGCTGGGTCACCTTAGCTTTACATTATGCAAGTTTCAAGTTGACTGTGCTGTATTGAGAGATGTAAACACAGTTGTTAAACCAGGAGGTGAGGGCAGGGGCGGTGGTGGGGAGGGGGTGTACTTGACCTTCTGTGTGTAAATCTGTTCCTGAAAAATAACTTTGTGTGTCCACGGGCACATGTGTATTTGTGTGTTCTTGTGGATGTGTGTGCCTGGGGCTGTACGCATGGCTGCATATTATGATTGTGTGTGTGTGTGTGTGTGTGTGTGTGTGTGTGTGTGTGTGTGCGTGCGCGCTCGCCTATTTCTGTGTGTGTGCATGTGTGTATTGGACAACATGTGCTGTTCCCCGTTGTTGCTACTGACCACAGGTTCACTCTGGCCACCACAGGCCTGTATCCACTCACTCCGCCCAGCACCAGCAGTTCCCGTCGGGCACACAATCCCGCGGCGGTACTGGCAGTCGAGGCTATGCTGCCGGCCCTCCAGACCCGGGCTATCGGCAACAGCACATGATGTACCCGGACGAGGATCCACGCAACCGACGTCACGCCACCAATCCACCGCCAATGTTCTCCGCCCCGAAGCTGCCAGGTCAACGCCTGGGCCCCGGCGGCGGTAGTCCACACATGCCGCAGAGAATGCACAGTAATAGTTCAGTTGGGCAAGGACAGATGCGATCTGCTCGGTCACCGCGAAGCACCGCACGAAATGAGGCACCCCCACCACTCCCACCTCGCTAACGATCCCCATAAAAATCCACATGCCACCCCCCCCCCCATTTGCACGATTCATGCCCCCCCCCCCTTCTCCACAAATTTCACATCCCTAAATAGCCGCTGCAGCCGTCCTTCCATTTTTTCTTCTTCTTTTTTTTTCATTTTTTGATTCTTTAAACTGATTTTCATTAGGATTTGAAATTTCTGGCCGACCAAATTTTATTACGAAACTTTATACATTCCATTGCAGTAGGTAAGGTCAATCAAATTTATGAGAATTTTTTTGTGGGAATGTAGTGCAAAAATATCTTCATCTCTGATTGGGAATTTTCTGATGAACATAAGTTTCTATTTCTATTCGAGGATATAAATTCATATATTACGAAGAACCAGGCAGATTGGTATAGCGTGCTGTGTTCTCGAAGTTGCAATAAGATGTGTGTGAAGAGTTTAAGGGGCTAGCTAGCACACTCGTCGTCGTCGAGTCCTTGGCCGAGGGGGCGTTCTCATAGACTAGCTCATCCTGAGTGCTGCTGACACCGGTGTTAAACCTGGACTGCTGCTGCCGCTGCTCTGTAGTGACACGGGTCTGGTAGTCGCTGGGCATGTCGTACATGTCATACGTGTTGTGCCGAGTCTTTGCCTGGAAAAACAAAGCAGGCAAGAACGTGGAGAAAACATTATTCAACTGTGAAAGGTTTAGAGGTTTGCCACGTCCAACCATAGTGTGAGGCCGTCCGTGCTCGGCGAAGCGGTCTGTAGTACCAGGCTCTTCGCTAGTCACGCTGGTCTTTAGTCACAGGTTTTACTGTAGCTAAAAGGGTATCGGGTGGTCTTTAGTCACAGATTTTACTGTGGCTAAAAGAGTATCTACAGTTGTGCTCCGTGAAATCCGACCCGAAGTGCATATCGGGCGCCCAGGCCCTTGACACCCTGCCAGTTGTACCGTAATGCTCCGCGAGAGCACCCCACCTTGATTTTACACGCAGGGAAATGAAAACTCGTATGGCAGAGTGCAACGAAGTGTATACGGGTTGAGAACCTTTGTGCTAAGGTCACACTTAGCAGGTTTTTGTGTGGAGTTCGTGTCCGCTCGAAGAGGAATTGATTACGGATTGACTGCACAGACTGCAATGTGTGTGCACGGTTAGTGTCGTACAATCTACAGGCAGGACACCACCTCCACAATACGACCACAAAAGGACGAGATGGTGGACTGTTACGTTACAAATGCTGGGGTGCACATACTCTTTCGTATACTGTGAAGTACGGGCTAGGAATAATCATATTAAGGTGGCTCCTACCCCTCGGGTCCAATTTTTTTTTGTTTGAAACGTGGCTACAAACGATTGTACTTTGTTCTGTTGGATATCTAGTGTACGGAGACAAATTTTTATCAAGTTCTACCGGCCGGTTTCACTCGGAGGAGGGGCCAAACATAGCACACTCACAATTGCCAATTTAGGCCAAGAAATACCGAAAAGCCACTTTTTTGGCCGTAGCACTGGTAGTTACCCCCTTTTTCTTGATGTCCAACACCAGGACAGTAGTATACTTGCTAAATATCAGCATAAGCTGTAGAAGTGGGTAGAATTCTGCTAGAAGGTGACCTTTTTTCTCTTTTCGGAATCATCCCATTTCAGCGCACACGTCCCACATAGTAGCCCCGCCCACAAGTATTTGACACTGGACTTGCCCTGTATTCGATGGTTATGCTATCATAACCTAATAATGGTACTGTGTAGCAAGTTTGAGCAGGTTCTACCGAAGGTAACTCGTGAAATAAAACTTTGAAGTTTCAAGTGATGCCATATTTCAAGAATCAGCACATTGCACTGGGACATTGTCCAACGCCTTAGAACCCCTGACTCCACCATATGACAGATACGTGTCTTACAATAATTGATTGCAACATCTTCCGAACATAGTAGTAGAGCTTTGGATCAAGTTTTAGCAGTTTCCACCGAAGCTAACTACCAAAATAGAACTTTGAAGTCGCCCACATACTAAATGCCATAGCTGAGCATGTGCATTGAGTGTATGATCTAAAGGTTTTCACAACTAGCTCCAATGTGGCAGATACGTGTCTTACATTACTTGATTGCTACATCTTCAGAACATAGTAGCAGAGCTTTGGATCAAGTTTAGACAGTTTCTACCGAAGCAAACTACCAAAATAGAACTTTGAAGTCGCACACATACTAAATGCCATACATGTAGCTGAGCATGTGTATTGATTGTACATGTATGCTCTAGTGTTTTTCACAACTAATTACTTTCTCCAACATGAAGCCGATAGTGATGTGGAATTTGTTGACTGCTTTGTCCAAAACACAGTGCTGAAGCAATGCACATTGGGCACTTTCTACTGGTAATGTAATTATTATATTATCCAGTGTTTGCTGCCAACATACTGTAAAAGCAGAAATTTTCGGTGGTGTAATATTTTCGGTATTCGCCAAAATCGGCGGTTCGGTAGCGGGAAATTTTCGGTAAAACCCGTTCTCCAGGTAGGTGTACTAGTACTACATGTATACAGTATCGGTTGTACCGAAAATTTCGGTGCGTTTTATTTTCGGTAAAAATTGTCTGCACCGAAGTTACCGAAAATAAAACACCACCGAAAATTTCTGCTTTTACAGTAGCAAGAAATACTTCTATACTAAATGCGTATTCCACGGGGTACGGTCCAATGGCTTTTCACTTCACATCTAGCCACTGTTCTTCGTGCATTACTTGAATGCTTAGTCTCCGTGGTAATGAAGCTAAGAGCCACACTGGAGAAGTTTCTACTGAAGCTAACTATCAAAAATATAAAATTTCCAAGATGCTACTATTACATCAAGTAGCTGTGTGCAATGCCACTCTGTTGAACACAGTAAGCAAAATCGAGTCACTAAAACCCTATTTGCCAGATACAAGCTGTTGAGACTGATAGCAGCTGTATAATCTGATATGGATGGCGGTTCCACACTGACCAGCACATGTACACGCGCACAGGCAGAAGAACACACAAGTAATACACCTAACGTTACTTCGAAGTACACTGTGTACATCATGTAAATACAAGCGTATATACAAGCATCACTCCTGTTCTCCACAACCGGCAGTCCTGGGCCACTCCAGCTGGTCAGAGTGCAATAATTTCTGCAGCAGGCTCGACTTGGAAAGCTACTCACACCTGCCATGGCTGCAACATAAGTATTACCAGCGCTTTTACAGTGCTACTTGTATTATATTATTGTCAATCCATTGTGGTGCATGGCACTCGTTTTCAACAACCGAGTTTATGTCATTAGTTGCATATCCAACGCCAGCAGAAAAAGAGGGGGTGGGGGCAAATTACCACGGTTCAACACTAGTCATACTGAACGGCGTTATGCCATGCCAGGCGCGCACACAAAACGCCCGCGCGAGCCCGCATGCATGTACACACCCGGGTGACACACATTGATGCGACTTTACATAGCCTGCACTGTCGTTCTATGTCATAGGAGTGAGTGCACACACATATATATATGTACATGTAGATTGCCTAATTTTGCATACGTGATAAAATTGTATATGTATACACACATGTGCGTGCACATATAGATAAACTCAACGGCATACGCATGAGTGTGTGCCAGTAGGGCCACATGCCAATTATCGGATAAGTCTGTGAAAGTTGCACGGCACGACAAACTTTCGGACAGTCTAAAGATATGACACAATGAATGTGGAATACCCTCCAGTGTGTAAGACCATTTCATATCTATTTCGCAGCGTTTGTGATTTTCGGAGCGTCCCTGTTGATATTTGATGTCCTCACTTGGTTGATGACACAGTCACCGTCCCACGCAAATTATCAAATTCACCTCCAATGCCATCCAATCTGCGTTCCGCGATACGTGTACAGTGAGTGAATTGTGTTGAGGAAAGCCATGCAGCAATAAAACAGTCGAGACTCCCAAGCAGAGGATACAATTCAACAGCGTATTGAAGTACCGTGGAATTGTTCTAAACAATTTTCAAGACACAATTACAAAATTTGAAGTGCGTCTTGAAACGTGTTTGAAGTGCTTCGATGTATTTACCTTCGATCTCCCTGAATCGATCCATCCACAGCTACCTGACGAATTTGCCAGTCAGTGCGGGAGATGATTATATTTGAAGGTCGCGAGATGTCAGTGGCACTGGCAGGAAATCTACACAAGCGTGTTCTGAAATAATTTTCTAATACTCAGGCATGATTCAAGAGCGGACTTTGATTTCTCCCTTCTTATGGTACGAGCACCAGTCGACATTGTATTCTTGGAAAATCTTCTGCGAGTGCTGCCTTCCCCTTTCATAGAAAGAACGAGTGAAGAGGGACACTAGCAGCAGGTTCTAACGTTAGCTAGGTCGTCAGAATTGCAGAAGCGAGAAGAAGTTCAACAACGATTGATCGCACAAAAATCATCGCTACCGAAAAATTTACTGAAAATCTACACTTTTCAAACGATGCGCGCGCAGAGGGTGTGAGCCACCTTAAACCAAACAGTGCAGCCGTACTCTTACTGTCTTAGGCTGTCACCACACCACGGTACACAGCGCTGTGTCTACGTCCGCGTCAGGAGTTTTTGGTTGGTTGTCATGATGATCCGTATACGCAGAGGAAATACGTAGTAGACAAGGTAAGGAGAGGGGAGGGGGGGGGGGGGTGGGGGGATACGACTTTTTGGATGAACCCAGCCTATTTCTGAGCGCCCTTCTACTTCGATGTACTTGAGTTCAAATTTCTCCAAAAACGTGACTGTGTGTATGCGGCAAGAACTGTGCCTGTGTGATGACACGACCACCGTAGACGAAGACGTAAACGGGAGTCGAAGAACGTAGTGTGATGACGGCCTAACATTCAAGCGTACGGCATATGCCGTCACAGTGCAAAAAGCTGCGCCAACAAAAATGTCCCGGGTACAAAACAAAGAGAACTCTCTGCGTGCAAGAAATTTTGAAATATTTCACTACTTACACAGCCCGTGTATTCGCTTGTGAGCGTGGCGCATACAGTTGGGGGGGGGGGACATCCACATTCTCCGGTTGTTGGTGATGCCATGGAGGCTGATTTGGGGGCGCCAGCTTTGCACCTCAGTTGGGACTTCACCAAGTTCAGCTATAGATACCGATAGACAAATCTGTTGTAAATTTTCCATTTACAGCAATTCTAAAAATGTCTTAATGTGTTACTCGCGCATGGATTAATGAACGCTGGAGGACTTTCTCTCTATAAAGTGGGCTTTGGAAGAAAGACACCCAGAAAATGTGCAACTAAACTACCAGAGTTCATTGCAAGGTACCATTCCTGGATACGTTGATTTGCAGAACGGAGACAACCCGGACCAGTCATTGTACCCGAAAACTTACTGATTTCTTGGATATAACCATGGCGAGGGAGGTGCCGTCGTCTTTCGGGTCCCCATTCCGCTGCACGTCCTCAGCTTGATGGGTGTGTAACGGTGACGGGAATTCGACTTTGTAATCGCCGAGTCGCGAAAGGATGGATGAGAAAGCTGGTCGGCAAGCAGCATCTTGCTTCCAGCATGCCAGCATGAGATCATACCTGCATGGATGGATACACAAGTAAATGGAGAAGTGCACAGTGCTGAATGAGCAAAGAAGAGCTTCAAGGTGGAACAAGGCATTATCACGCCTACAGGATCAGGCGAAAACCATTCTAAGATCAGAATGTTTGCTTGACAAAACCCTTGTTCCGCCTTATTTGTAAGGAGGGGTGCAGCTCGTCTGTCCTATTGCGGCTTGATCTAACAATTAAGGAGCCAGTTGGTTTGCTAAGCAAGGTTTCAAATAGAGACTGGCATCCAGGTATTTGTGACACGGGCATAAAGTAGCTTGTACAGATGAATGCAATTGTCTAACAACCGTGACTGTACTACCGTGTCGGTGATCTGTACTGATGTGATCAGGATTTCTCAAGCAGACTGCCCGCACTACTGTTCTTATTGCTCGCAAATTCCAACGCAGCCACTTGAGGAAATTTGAAACTCTCAACGGTCCTTTTGAGGAGTAAAGTTTAACTGTACTGTGTTGAAATACAAGTTTACCGGTAATGTTGCAGGACCGCCGGAAACAGTTGTTGGTTGGTCCGGTAGTTTCATGACCTTTTATACTTTTGTGTGTGATATGGCGGGTACACATGTCCTCCACAGTAGGAAACAAGTGTTGGTGGCCAAAACATTGGTCCGGGGATCTGTTCCGGCAGGCCTGGATTGCGCTCACAAGACGCGCAAAGCAAAGTGACCACGGTGATTGGGTCGCCGTGCCACGAAAGTCACAGAGAAAAACAGAAACGCTAGATTGGTACCTCGAGAGGGGGGGGGGGGGGGGGGATCAAAGCTGAGAGTTTATGGGTCTGATGCACACCATACTGTTGACTGCTTTTTCAGCTCGAGTGCCAGTCAGTTTGTTGTTGTTCAGTACTCATTTTGTTGTTGTTCAGTACTCGGATCTCAGAGTAGTGGAGAACTCCATGGATACGTGGAATCCGCCGAAGAAAACAAGCTCTAACTTGGACAGCCTGTCGAGCATCGTGGTCCGATACAAAATGTTGTCCTGTTGCGTGAGCGAGATGAAATCATTGTGCAGCCAGAGCTGCACGACCTGGCTTCTCCTTCACGTCAAGAACAAGACGAGCCGGGTCGATCTCTCCTTCATCTCGTGAGATACATGTACCGAGAAGACAACTTCAAGCTCACAAAAAGAAACACCAGAGCAGTCATCCATCGCGAGCTGCCTTCTCCACAACGAAGAAAAAACTCGGTGGCGATCCACATGATGAATTTTCATTTGTACACATGCGGAGAATATTGCCATGCTCCCCAGAGAGTAGTGAAATAGGTATTTTACTTCTAGAATAGGTATTTTACTACTCCCCGAGTGCGAGCGCACCCTAAACCGGTGTTCAGGATGTCCCAACCAGATGACATTCTCATACAGTATCCATGTGGCAAGTACACCGGGAAGAGTTGCAAAATGCTAACTTAGCCTTGGAGGGGCACAGGGCTTGTCGGCACAGCGTTTTAAATCTACTTTCCTTGTACATAATTCTGTCGGAGAAGGGTAGGCTGACAGAATTGAGCAAATCAGGGCTTTGGGTCTAATGGACACGTTGAGATACGGAGGACAGGAGATGAGATACGGAGGACAGGAGACAACATAGAACACGAGAACGACAGAGAGCGAGTCCAGAATAAGTACAGAAAAGCAAGTTATCATGTCCGTTCCCGCGGAAGGGCCAGAATAGTACGGAATAAATATCTCCGGTGAACACACAATGCAGACACGCAAGGATGCAGCACATGTCGGCCAGCGTCTGTATGTAACAACAACAACACACGTCCTAATGCACCACTAAGGACACTCACAGTTCATCGGAACATCCCTTGGGTTGGTCAAGGCGATGGCCAGCATTCAGATAGGACAGGATTTCAGCATTGGCCAAGCCTGCATACGGTACCGCTCCACACGTAAAGATCTCAAATAGCAGCACACCATACGACCACTATGGAGTAGGGCAAACACACAAATACACACACATACGCGCACACGCATGCACGCACACGCATACACATACACACACACGTACATGCCTACATGTACACACACACATCCGCGTACACACACAGGCACACATGAACGCCATTTAGTGTACATGCAAACTGAAAAAGGACGATGGCATAAGTTGGGGTTTCAACAGCTGTATGGGACTTTTCTTGTGAGTGTGCCCCATCTCGACCCCCGTGTTGGGTTATCCCTGAATGTCAGAATTGATAAAATTGTGCCCACCCATACCATGAGCCACGTGAAGTCTTACAAGTGTCGTAAGGCTAGGATGGTATGGGAGAACCAAATAATGATAATGTAATAGGTACAGTTCGCATGTCACGCCTGGAAGGATCCATGGGCTTAACCCATCTGTCAATGAAATCCAGGCAGAATAGCCAAAAAAAGGCAACCAAAGGTGGTGTGGAATTTTTCTCACGTTCGTCACAGCAGTCTCTTCCAGTGCTGCGGCAACCACGAGATCGGTCTGCACTGAGATGCGATGGACTGGCCGATGGACTGGCCGGTGGACTGGCCGATGGTCTGGCCGATGGTCTGGCCGATGGTCTGGCCGATGGACTGGCCGATGGTCTGGCCGATGGACTGGCGGGTGTGAGAACCGCTCCCAGCGGCGGGTGTGAGGCAGACAGGATGAAGAAGAAGACCATGACAGTGTCCGGTGACATTGGACCACGTATCATCACCACCTAAACGCAAGGAAATTCCGCGCCGCCTTTGTTTTTCCCATACGATCCTAGCTTATGACACTGGATATACAGTCAACTTCGCAAATAACGACTGCGGATACAACGACAATTCGCGAATAGCGACAGAATTTCCATGCCCAGAGCAAAGTCCCATCCAACTGTAATACATAGAATGCGACTTCGGGTATAATGACACTTCGCGAATAAGGACACTTTTCTGATGCCCCGCCGAGTGTCGTTATAAGCGAAGTAACTGTACCGTAGTTCCGCGCATATTAGCCCATGGGCTTATATGCGAAATAATGCAGTTTGGGTATAAAATATCCAGTAAAACATTTGTTTAGCCCATGGGCCAACATTCGAATTTTGAAGGTTCACGAAAAAGTACAAGTCCGTGCTCATAGTGGGTCTACCATACTCTACTGGTAAACTGCTGTACCATGGTAGGAAGAGTCCTCATCGTGAAAAGTTCTTGTTGACACGCGAGTTGCATTTGTGTCTGTTTATAAGCCCATGGGCTTATAAACGGAGGTGGGCTTATATCCGGATATAGGCCCGTGGGCTGATATGCGCGGAATTACGGTATGTATATTTGTATTTATTACAACATCTCAAGACTCGGTGGAAACACCGGCAAGTTAAGAAAGTGGGTGATTGCCAACCACGGCGTTTAATAAAACTAAGTGGACACTTTGAAAAAAGACTTGTGTGGCTTATGGTCCAAACATAAACGTGACACCCATAACCTTTTATCGCGTGCAAAAAGGTGAAAAGCCTGTCGAGTTGTTTAACCCATAAAGCACTTCTCATTGCCACACCCCGAATTTCTTCTAGCACTTTTGTAATTCAAAACGAACTGTTCTACTGAAACCCGACCATTTGGCCTGATGAGTCAGCTAAGATTGGCGAAACAAGCTCATACTTGCCAACCTTGCCAAAGCAAATCCCTTACAGCTAAATTTTCTCTCGTTTCCCTTATTTTGCTGGTTTTCGCCAATTTCGGCCATTTTCTCTTTTGAAGAAGGGCTGAGGCTTCCTGCAGCTTCATCTCTGAAAGGAATTTGGGTGGACACACCTATTCCCATAGCGCTGCACATCACATCCGAACCAGTTCCGTTATTTTTACAACGTTTCGGCACTTGGCCATCGTCAGGTAATAACAATGAATACTGTGGAAGCCTCACAAGAGCAGTGTATATACGCAGAGTGTAGCGCCAAAAAAGATGCGAATTATGTCACCTAGTATACAGAAGGGGGGGGGGCAGAGAGAGAGAAGGTGCAACTAGCACATCACGGAGAAGAAGCAGCAGAAGGTAGCGCGCCACTGCATTGTGCTCTGTGAAGTGAGGGCGCGTGCCACGGCGTTACGCAGAGTGTAGCGCCAAAAAAAGGGGGGATGCAAGTTATAGAGGGGGGGGGGGGGGAGAAGGTGTAACTGTGCACATCACGGAGAAGTAGAGCGCACCATTGTGCTCTGGGAAGTGAGCATTCTCTTTTGAACTCGGAAAATGAGCCAGTTGAAATAAAAAATAAAAAATATAAACACATGGGAACGAGTTGTGAAGCAACTATCCACGACTGTAACAAGATAATAAGCAGTCAGACCGTGCGATAACAGGGCACTGACAGTTCAATGTCTCAGTAGCCTGTCAGTTGTCAGTTTTGTGGCCTGTTATCGCACGTTCCGACTACTTCTATTGTCGTCTTACAGTCGTGGATAGTCGCTTTGTAACTCGTTCCCATGTGATCTCTTCTTCTATTTTACATTTTCTATTTTTGCGCAGTTTTTTTCGCAATTTTCTTTCCTTTTTGTTCATTTTAACCCATTGCATATTAGGCTAGATTGCAGAAGTATGGTAAGCTTATAAGGAGATCATCTGTACATGTGTGTTCCCGCCAACGGCAGCAGAGCTGGGGAGGCCCCAGGAAATGTGGTGTATTGGTTGATAATAATGCATAGAATGCCTACAATTTTTTAATTTCTACCGCCCATGTCCGCACAGAGTCCTTGGCTACACAAACCTCTCCAAATCTCTCCAAAAACACACTTCAAATTCCTTCCAAATTTTTTTCAAGAGGGCATCTTCAGATGAGGGATCTTCATATCCCTGAAGATGCCCTTTTCGGCGAAAATTTGAAAGGAATTTGAAGTTTGTTTCGGAGAGGTTTGGAGAGGTTTTCATTTCGTGTAGGCAAGGACTTTGTGTGGACGTGGGCCGTGGAAATTAAAAATAATTACAAGGCTACAGAGGAGTTGTGCCATCCTTGTTAATGCGGGGGATTAGCAAGACGAAATTCACGTTCGTGTTCGCACTCCAAGGAATGTCGAACTCAGTGACGGAATTCGCGTTATGAGAAGGAGTGGCAAACAGAATTCGCACATGCATGACGTTGACACGTCGTACATTGTTTACAAAAAGTACAGCATGGTAATTTACGACTGTCCTGACACGAATCCGCGATGCGTGTTTCGACTACTTTTCCAAACGAAAAATGCCAAAGTTCGCTATCCAGTTCGCGAACCGAAAAATGTTCGCGAACACGAGCGCGAATTTCGTCTTGCTAATCCTCCGTAACACCTTCGGATATCATTAAATATTTATTCAGTACTATGATTCTTGTCCTCGTCAAGTTTGAAAGGCGATTTTTCTTTCTTTGTATTTTGCAGGTATCTTACCTGCACACTTACCGTGTCGGAGTGAGGAGAGAACTTGTGATACTGCAATCCTTCCAGGGCCATCCACCTCACAGGCAAGCACCTGCACAAGACCAAAATGTAGAACAATGTCACCGTAGCATGCACTGCCACTGTGTTCAAAGCACCGTATTTTCACCGAATACGAGTCGCACCTTTCTACTCAAAACAGCAGGAGTAAGAAAGGGTCCAATGTGCTTTTTGTCTTTCAACATGATTTGTAGGTTTGTGTTCTCTTTGTGCGACTTACAATTGAGCATGACTTCCAACAACATGACGTACTACTGAAGTCTATCTATCAAAACAATATGGCTCAAATCTGAGCGGGGGTGCGACTTATAATCGAGTGCGGGAAATACGGTACTCAACACTCCGGTGGCGGCGGTGACAGGGGGTACTACTACTACACAGTACAAGAGTGGAACAAGAATAGTGCATTGCAACTCTTTGCCATGCTCATTACAGTGCAATGTTGCCTAGTGATTGCATTGTAATGCAGGGTCATCGGAAGGTATACAACATCAATGGACACGTGGGGGGGGGGGGGGGGATCCTGTGCACGTCCTCAACGGGAATATTTAGGGAATTTGGGCCCAATTATCTCATATTTTGTTCCTTCAATAATCACGATATGAAAATTTTGGTTGCAGCCCTGGTGCCGACGTCCCTGTAATGGGATATAAACTTGCAAATGAACTGGGCATCTGCCACTTTTTGTAGCATGTAGAACAATGACAGAAACAGTTATTCATCCAACACTAGCTGACACGCAGATGAGGTCAGAATCTTTGAGACCATCTGTTCAACCAGAAACTTATGTTCCTTTCTTTCCTCTATTTATTATTGGCTCAACATCCGAGTTTCATAAACGATTTGACTTTCCACAACTTTTGGTACCTCAGCCGAGATTGTCATGACCAGCGTGGCAAGATTGACACATCGACATCTGAAAGCTGGACAGGAGAATTCTAATTCTTTGTCCCCAACTGTTACACTCCACTTTGCGTATAACGACACTTGGCGCGGCGGGGCATCAGAAAGGTGTCGCTATTCGCAAAGTGTCCGTATACCCAAAGTCTCTAGATATGTGCACAGGTTGAAGGGACTTTGCAATTTTCTGGGCATGGAACTTCTGTCGTTATTCGCGAATTGTCGTTATATCCGCAGTCGTTATTAGCAAAGTTGACTGTAGTGTAATATGTTTTGCAGCAGGCACACGCTTTGCTTACCATTCGGTGTTCACCCTGTAGTAGCTATCCTCCTCCACGTCACGTGCCAGTCCGAAATCTCCAACCCTCACCTGCAGATCCTTGCTCAACCTTGAGCAGCAGTGCAGTGGGCAAACACAATAGGCACAACAAGAAATGATTTGTTTGCATGAACAATGGTACAGTTGGGTGCAAAAAATAGTTTCGTTGCAGCAGAGTTACCCTTAAAACTAGCAGGCATTTTTATAAAGTTTCCATGGAGATAGGAATGGTGTTCCCCGATTACTTTTTATGACAAACGTCGCGGGCGAAGAATGGGATGGGACTTAGCCGAGTGTGACAACCCATTTATGTGAATAGAATGAAACAATATGGCTCTGACCTGAAAGTAAGGCTGTGACTTGTAATCGAGTGTGACTTGAGGAACTAAGGTACTTCATTAATGACGCAACCGCAAAAATTAATAAGATTATCAAGCTTCAGGCAGACATGATCTGTAGGTGAGTGAGGACTCACATGCAGTTCCGTGCAGCCAGGTCACGGTGAATGAAGCTGCGCTCGGACAGGTACTGCATACCCATGGCCACCTGCTTGGCAAAACTGAGCATCGTCTTCAGCGACAGGCGCTTTGTCTGAAGAAGCAAATATGCAACATGGCCGAACAGGCACAGGAACAGGCACACAGACATGACGATACCAACTTCAGATGAAGACGACAGACTGTACCCATATAATATTATGTATATCACACGTGCACACGCACACCCGACCTGCATGAATACACACTCTCTCCCATACCTAGACAGTGAGTATGGTGCGCTAAGCACTCCGCACTATTTTACTACTTCCTCCGTTCACAAAAACTTCGTGATGGATTTGATGGATATGAAAACGCTTAGAACAGGTCAAGAACATATTGTATGACTGTAAATCCCTGGACCAAGGTAGTTCAGCCTGTGTTTGTCTTTACAAGAGAAACTGTTGGCAGAATGAGCAAAGAGTTCAGTTTACGTCGCTTTTGCTCGATTTGACCCTACGTTGCTGTCGTCATCTGCTGCACAAGAGTCGTCATCTCTCTCTCTCTCTCGACCTTGCTCAGTTCTTTCCAGCCGTGCCTCGACTTCTTTGATCACACTCCGCTGAACTTTGGTGCTGTTGCCGTCGTTCGAGTTGGCTTTCGAGCTGTGTGATCCGCCACGGTGGCGATTACTCGTTTCCACCAGGGAGTTGTAAAAGTATGTCTTTCACTCTCCAGAACTCACGAAACAAGGAGTAAAGGCACAGCCAAACTGATTCCATTTTCTCTGGTGGATGTACCTACCAGTACTGAACTGCAGCGGCTTACAAGTCTTTCCCGAGCCACGAGACTCGCGTCGGACTGCAGACTTCTAAAGAATGCATGGTCATCGGTATTCGAATCTGGGAATTGCGCCGGTTGAACAAATAACTTGAACTCAGAATCATTTCATTGCGCCGTGCGATCGGAGCAGCTGCTCATTGTGTGGGCTCGCTGCTCCATTCTATCGCTCTCTATCACTCTCAAACTCAGTGCTAGAGAGGCTAACCGGCGCATTATGCCTTCGGAGAAGTAGCATTTCAGTCTCTCTCACCATGACTGTCATCACAGCCACAGAGCAACCATTAGTTCCACTCGACTTGTTGTGAAAGGCCACTTTCCTTGCATCGTGTCTCTTTCATGGCCTGCCAAAGAAGGCCGATAAAGTCATCACCACACGTTTCACAGCAGTTTGTGCACAAACCAGTCCCTCAAAAATCCATCACAAAGTTCCTCTGAACGGAGGAAGTAGATCTTCTGTGTGTGTGTGGGGGGGGGGGGGGGATTTGGCTCGAGCATATATTGTACATATATACGCAGATGCAAAATATTTTTTATTTAAATACACACATACCTCACACTCGATTGTAAATCGCACCTCCTTCTTTGGCCTTGTGGTTTAGTGTAGAAAGGAGCAACTTACATTCGGGAAAATACCGTACCCAGGTTGACAGCCCCAATGCGCACACACACCATGTCCCATGTACCATGTATACGCTCGTCGCAAGAGAAGCACGTAAATCTGCAAATGCACTGGATGTGCACCCACAGATTTTCTCTTTATAGCAACGAGAGCGGATCTGATTCTGATTGAATACACACACCATTGGACCATTGGACGCCCATCGCCGGAGGCGATGATAGCGATGCTACAACAGAAGCCATAGCAGCTTGTGCTGGGATTGCACCATTCAACAGCTTGCAAGGCTGAAGAATTGACCGCCACTATTCAGCCTGGTCTACAACACACAGCTATGAAGTGGCTTTTTCTGGCCAGTGAATCCCTACTTTTTGGTCTTTTTATTATTATTTTTTTCCGCACACACATCACACCACATACTCCGGCATGCACTGGCTGTTGGTAACCACCCAGGAGAATGAAAGAAAAGTCAGGAAGAGTCTGAGAAAGAGAAGAAAGATGTGTTTGACCATAATCGTCGGGAATCGAACCCGCAACCTATCGATTGGAAATCGCTGCATATACCACTGCACCATATGGGACACACACACACACACACACACACACACACACACACCTTCATCGAACAGCTTACTGGACTTTGTGCGCTCAGGGAGAACGTCCTCAAGAACGACAGCAGATCGCCACCGTCCATGAATGGTGTAACCAGCTGTGGCATTCCGTCATCACCAACAGCAACGCCAATCAAAGGCAGGACGTTCGGGTGATGAAACTCGCTCATGCAGTGTGCTTCATCCAGAATCTTCGCAACGTGAGTGTGCTTTGAGTCTAACATAGTGAAATACAGGAACACATCGACTCGACTCTTTGCTCCCCGACTAGGCCCATCCGCAACCATGTATCATGGTCTATGCTAGCAGATATAATTATGTGTGGAAAGAGCAGAGATCACCGGTTCTGCGTGTTGTTCTGCAGGGGCTTCGCATGGCAGTGGGGAATGGTACGACAACAGTTTTAGCACTCGTTTATTGCTTTTGGGAAAATTGGATCATCCTGGACGAAAATTGCTACGATGGTCGTACTGGTTGATGGTCGTACTGGTTGTACCGTTTGTGATGCCCCTGCACTTGTAAAAAAATGTCAGCTCTGCGATCCCCTTCCCCCCCCCCCCCACAAGTAAATTCAGATGGCTCACCGTACTATCCTAAATTATCTTCCGACACCCCTGGGATAGCAGTGTTCTTCTTACCAATGTCTCTCAGCTTCTTCACTGCTACCCTGTCTCCGTTCAGTATGCCTTCGTGAACCACACCAAACGCACCTGAGCAGTTACAAGACATTTATAGCCACACAAAATGAAAGCACACATTTCAGGACTTCATACTACCGTGTGAGGGCCTAAACCATACTACCACCCCTACTCGAAAGATTTATTATACACAATTAATTTAACTGGCCTGTTTATTGAATTCAGTCTGGCCAGCTTACACACTGGGAAATTACCTTCAGCTGGCGTGTGAGAATCACAGTGGTCCCTAGCACAAAAGGGTGAACATGTTTCCCTGTATCTTGCATTCTACTGCATGCAGAAGCCTGGGGAAACCTGAAGTCATAACTAGTCATTTTGGCTTTGATTATCGTTAGGCCACTGTCAGAATTCAGCTGGCAGCAATCACTCAACATCTAGAAATATTGACTTTTAATTGTCCACTCAGGGTGAATCAGAAAAGTTAGAAATATAGTTTTGGAACATTGCCTATGCAGGTGTCTAGTTACAAATGTTATTTCTCTTCGGATTTTACTGATCTTGGAAGGACAACGAAAGAGGGTCACTGGCAATTGTTTTAGGCATTGAATTTTGCCGGCATGCGTACCTTTTCCTAGCTCCTTTCCAATGATCAGATCCCGCTTGTTAACTATGTACTTCTCGTCCAGCATCAGAGTTGATTCCTTGGACATGGGTGGAGATGTGTCGAAATTGCCATCTGTATACACGCATGGGTACACATGCACACACATGCACATGCACACGTGCACACACACACACACACACACACACACACACACACACACACGTGCACACATCAACTGCCATCAACCCATTAGAGTTCATCAAAATTAATGTGGTTTGTCGTTTCTGCATGAGGAAGGAGTGTAGCCATCATCAAGCCGGCAAAGAAAATTGCAAAAATTCCACGCTAAGTACCTTTTTAGTACTCCCTGGCGCGCGCGCGCGCGCACACACACACACACACACACACACACACACCTCCTGTTTCCACCCTACGAGCACTGCACTGAGTGACCAGTAGTGTATGCGTACAATGTACGGTAAGTGGCCGTCCGTATTCCTACTATCGATCTTTTACACGAAATGAAAACGTTTGTTTATGGGTGGGTGGGTCGAGGAGATTTTCAATTTTTGAAAAATGTTGATAGCATAACCAAAAAACCATTTTCGTTGTAATGTAAAGTCATCTATTTTTCGTTCAGGGGGTGAGTGGGTGGGGCCGGATTGTAACTAAGCTTTTTCGTTCCGTTAAAATTATCGATATTACCGGATGGCCCCCAACACATTGGCAGGATGTTCTGGGCTACAGCTGTTAGGTACCCACTCCCGTACCTTTTCTAGCTGGCCTGCAACATTGGCGCCCGATTATTGATCGACCCACGACCCTGAGATCATCCCATGCCCAGCCGTCCTCAACCACCATTCGTCTCGTCTCTCCTACGCCAACCTCGTCTCGTCTCTATCAACCTCGTCTCTCCTACGCCAACCCAACCTCGTCTAGTCTCGTTCAAGCCATGCAGGTCAGCTACCTTTCTCTCTTTCTTTTTTTTGTATGCGTTCCTTCTTCGTCAAATTTTGTTTCGTGAATTTTTTTGTAGTGTGTGTGCGCGCGTGTGTTCGTAAAACATTAACAAGTTAGGGGTCCGATCATGGTGAGCCACGCTCTAATTTTTGGATGTTTAGCAAAAGTGTAACTAGGCTGTATTAGCCGTGCAAAATACTAGTAATTCATGTTCCTCGTCAAACTCCAATAGTTATTACACACTATAAGTAGTACAGGAATAATCTGTAGTGCATTTAGTACACACTTTCGTGAGATCCGTGCGCGCGTGCAGTGTGTGTGTGTGTGGTTTTTTTTCTCTCTTTTTTTCTCTCCGCGAGGACGCGGGATTTTTTTTCATGGAGGGGTGGTATGTTAGGTATCCACTCCCGTACCTTTTCTAGCTGGCCTGCATGCACTTGCGTACGCACCTTTTGTCTCCTTTTGCTCCGTTGGCCTGGGTAGCTACTTGCGCGCCCATATTTGCCATAGCTACCCAGGCCCTTTATCTTGCCGTTTAGACTTGATCTCGCTCTCTCTTTCCTCACTCTTCAATGTAGTCGTTTCGTTCGTCTTGGTCTCTTGTCTCGTCGTCTACTAGTATAATAAATGTCGTTCCCACTAACTTGTTCCCGTTGTAATGTCTGGATATGTCGTCAGTCGTCCTGTTTCGAACTCAACACAGCTATAAGAGTGCAGTAGTTGTACGAATTCGCGAAATGGCACGTAAACAGAAGGCGGAGCAAAATTCATTTCCAGCTCGAGTTAAACACTTTGTGTACGAGCCCCATCTCGAACCGTAACGTACATTACGGTTCGACCGTTCAGTAACACTTATACAACCCTAGGCTTACAATAAGTTCACATTGATCTGTCACCCAGGCATTTTAGACAGCCCACTTTTTTTTCGTTTTTTGTGGCGAACATGTTCAGCTCACCCCGAGCTGAACCAGCCCACAACCAGAAGTCCCATTCGATCATTCTCTCTCCCCCTCCCCATGCATGCAAATACAATACAGCCAGACCTCGCTTAACCGCACACATCCGTTTTCCACAAAACTATCCAGATAGGCGAGGGAACCGGATAGTCGAACACACATACCGGATGTATGGATGGCATATGCTGTAAATCGGTAATCAATGATTTTCTTCCGGATGGCGAGGGATCCGGCTAAAAGAGGACCGGATAAGCGAGGTTTGCCTATACTTGTACTTGCACATATGCTTTCCCAGACACGACAAAGAATTTGGCTCGAGGCCATGATATCTTCGAATACACCCCTGCAGTAAGTTGCTTGGCACACATGCATTTACCCGGAGTTTCCATTCCTTGAAGCTTCTTTGACTTTGTGATGTCACGGACATTGTCGCTTGCACCCTTGCTGCCGTTTCTACGCCTGTGCATGAGGAACAGGATTGTTATCACCAGGGCAACGACAATAATGGCCGCCACTACCACGACAACCAATGTCCAAGTGCTGACTGTGCTGCCCGAGCCGAGGCCACCATCTGATGATGATGACGTTTGAATTGGGCTCACAGACGTAGGAGTGAACTCTCGGGCGAGGTCAGAATCGGCTGGAGACCTTGCCAACGAGTTATCTCCCAGGTGAGGAGCCTCATCGATTACTGCCGTAGTACTAGAAGTATTCTCTCCAGGCTGGATTGAACCTGAAGTTATTGCTGGAAGAACAAGATGCAAAAACAAACACAAATTACTCATTGGTTTGAAGGAAAGATGCAAATTGGGAAAGTCTGAAGAAAAAATTGACTGTCACCACCAGGATTTTAACCAGGGACCTTCGCTTGAAGCCAACGATGCTCTAACCACTCATCTATGGTGTAGCCGTCATCAGAGGCCCTTCGACATTTCCCTCAGACTTTGAAACTCACGTGAATCCAAGCAGGCGGGTGGGATGCAGAAAATAGATAATGAATTTGAACATATCCTTTCCCCATCTCGAGAATAGATCGGATCATCCTGTTCAAGAATGAGAGGTGAAAATCTGTGGCTTTGACATAGTATCCACAAATTTGTACGCACTTACTTCCGAACTTAGCGGTGAGACCAGTACTAACGTTCGGGCAGCTACTGACTTTCAGGCACGAGCTAACTTTCAAACCTGACTTTGTGTACAGTGGAATAGTCATTCTTCATGTAGGTATATGTGACGCACGGAATGTGGGAACCGTACCAGGACTTTTATCCAGGCAGTATGTTTATCAGGCTTCAACGACCGAGTCAAAAGAATGAAGGGGAGGGGGGGGTGTTTATTTTGAGCAGGTACTTATGTACGGACTTGGGACTAATCTCACCCATAATATTTGTCCTAAACTCACCCTCAATATCCGGTTGGCATGCCACTGGAATGTCAAGGTGGAATGTTGGTAATGTCTTTGTGGAAAGCCCGTCAGAAGTAGGTGTTGTGAAAGTGAAATAGATCTTGACAGTTCCTTCTTCAGCAATGGACGCCGATGGTCTTGCTGCTGCAGCTGATTGCACAGTGCTCGCACAGCGCAGGACTACATCAAGCACTGCATATACAATAATGGTTCCGCGCACGCACACACGCATCATGCGGGAACGAATTCATGAATGTACACACACACACACACACACACACATATATATACATATATATACATACACACCGGCACACACACACATACACACCGGCACACACACACACACACATACACACCGGCACACACACACACACACACACACACACACATGCGTGCGTGAACGCATGGACACACACACACACACACACACACACACACACACACATGGACAGTGTTCACACCCGTTGTGCCGTATGCTCCAGCACGTGGTGAAGTATGTGCACATATAACCACTGAAAATAGACTTTTGTAAGTACAAGCATGGATAAAACTAGAAAACAGTAAACTATCTTTGGTACCTGATTCTGCAGCACGCCACCGTGATGTCTGCATGGAACACTGCACAGCACTTCAATGACTAACAATCTTTCGATTCAGATGGATAGCCAGGGATAATTTAAAAGAAAAAGGACCAATGAACTACAAATTACGCCCCTACCATTGATACGAAGCCACGCCCCTGCCACTGATGCAGAATTTAATCAGTTCTCACTCACGTGCACTGCCGCCAGCCAGGAATGCAGGGTTGTCCAGCGTTTCAAGGTTTACTCCATTCTGGAGAGAGACACTAATATCTGCATTGGAGGACGTGGTCGACCACGCCAGTGTTGTTGCAGCCTGAATGGAAAGGAATTCACATGCACATACACACGTACACACACATACTCACATGCAAAAACACACACATGCTCACATGCAAAAACACACACACACATATACTTAACTCGAATGCAAACAAACACACACTCGAGCATGCATGCTAACACACACACGCAAACCCACATGTACTCCCACACATGCACACTCCCACACATGCACTCCCACACATGCACACACACACATGCACACACACACACATGCACACACACACACATGCACAGACACACACATGCACACCTGGTCCTGGTATACACTGCCATGTAGGTCACGTGTTTCTCGTTGAGCGAGACGGAGACGAGAGGAGACATGAGCGTTGGTGACGGGATAAGTCGTTTCGCCTTTTGAAACGCCTCTGGCAATTCTGACATTGCAATTGGAACTTGTCCCTTTCATCAGCAGTTGGGCGCCTGGTGGATCGGCTGCAGTTGTGGATAGCAAAGCCCTGGATCGACTTACAGCAGCGTTCACAAATGGGACAGTGAGCGGTACAGCACGGTTTCAGAATACATAGGCGTACCGGTGAAGAGCTTATGGCATTGGCAACATTCGGGGCAGAATTGGACTGGACACAGCGATGGACATGCCACCCGCACTCTGAAACCATCGGTGACACTGGGAGCACTGGCGGCTGTTGGCTTGCTGCTGGACTGGTTTACGCCGTTCCATGATGCACTTGTGGCGGGCGATATCTTGCTGCCAAGCAAATGCACGCCGGCACACCTCGCAGATCTCCCGAGCCAGTTTCTGAGCTGGTTGTATTGCTCGATAAGCTTGCCGCCACTCAGATCGTTCCTGCGCTGTGTCAAACCATGACTCGTCGGCGATGTTTATTCGTCGCAGGTCGACCCTAATTGCGTCTCGCCATCGTTTCCGCGGGCCACACGCTGGGCGTGGTGGCAGCAATGTGCCAAACAACAACATCCACGGCATCCGCTCCTCAGGCATGCGTACCACGTGCCCAAGCCATTCCAGTCTTCTCTGCATGAGGCGGTCGGGGATATCCAGTGGCTTTGCTGCATTCCATGTTTTCAGAATGGTGTCCTTGGCTATCTTCAAGTCCCACACATCCCGCTGTGCAACACTCATGATGGAAAGAAGCGACCGGTAGTAGAAGGTCGTGATCCGTTGCACACCACTTTGCAGCGGTACCCATGTCTCCGCACAATAGAGCAGTAAGGACAGAACACAGGCCTCGAAAACCAGACGCTTGGTGCGCAGAGAGAGATTGTGGTCATTGAAGACAGCATGACGGAGCGCTCCAAAAGCACGGGAGGCAGATGAAACACGGGTCGATACATCTTTGTGAGATCGGCCAGAATCATGGATAACAGCACCCAGGTATCGGAACTCACGCACACATTCCAATGTGCCATTCTTCACAGGAAGAGGAAGTCGGTCATCATCCGTGATACCATAGCCAACCGCCATAAATTTGGTCTTGTCCAGATTGACGGTCAGACCAAAGGCAGACGAGACATCGATGAACATATCCAGAGCAAGAGCAGCAGCAGTACGGGTAGTGGCAAACAGTGCAGAGTCGTCAGCGAACTGGCAGTCGCGTACATGCACACATCCAAACACTGCTGTGTACAAAATCTAGCAGCAGTAAAATCACACATTGTGTGTCACAATGCCCAAATGCTCAACGTTGTCGGATATGCGACTATATTGACTGGTTGAGCGGCAAGGTACGTGATAGGCCGTTGGCGTGCGGCCAGCATCTCCGTGCTCAACCATTTCATGATGGAGAGTGTCAGCCATGCAATCGGCAAATCGATAAGACATACCAGTGGTGCACATGACAGAGTCCAACAAAGATGGCCTTGTGTGTGTTGAAGAGTGGCCAGAGAGTGTTGAAGAGTGGCCAGACAGTGTTGAAGAGTGGCCAGACAGTGTTGAAGAGTGGCCAAACAGTGTTGAAGAGTGTGGCACGACAGTGTGGAAGAGTGCGGCACGACAGTGTGGAAGAGTGCGGCCAGACAGTGTGGAAGAGTGCGGCCAGACAGTGTGGAAGAGTGCGGCCAGACAGTTTGGAAGAGTGCGGCCAGACAGTGTGGAAGAGTGCGGCCAGACAGTGTGGAAGAGTGCGGCCGGCCACAATGTCGGGCCGGCCACACTCTTTAACACTGTCTGGCCGCTCTCTTCCACACTGTCTGGCCGCACTCTTCCAAACTGTCTGGCCGCACTCTTCCACACTGTCGGGCCGCACTCTTCCACACTGTCGGGCCGCACTCTTCCACACTCTCTGGTCGCACTCTTCAACACTGAGTTAGGTTTATTTTTTGGGAGGGGTGGTTCCGCTGAAAAATTTCCGAAATTTAGATTGCAAATCAGTGCTTTTGATGTACTCATGGGATGCCTGGGGGCAAAAAGTGATACGGTCAATACCGTAGTGACCGAAGCATGTCCGACGCCCCTGCCACGGCTGTAATAGTGCGGCGTATACCGTATTTTCCGGAGTATAGTGCGCACCTTTGTATAACGCGCACCCCCAGTCTTCATTGGGGATGCGCACTTCAATCTTCATTGAAGTATGTGCACTTCATATTTGGAGCATAGTGCGCACCTGCGATTTAGGGCCTAAAATAGCACATCTAAATTGCACACTAAACTCCGGAAAAAACGGCACTCCTGGGAAAATACGGTTGTACTCGGCCAGATCGTCTTGAAAGCACACACACACAGAAGCCATATATTTTTTCGCAGGCAGACTGTACCTCATCGTGGCGCTTGGTCCAACTCAGAGCCAGTCCGCTCTTATCACCGCTCCGCGCCTGTAGCTTGCCGAATGCCAACGCGCCGTTCGCCACTGTGACACTGACTGGCTGCTTCACAGAATCAAGTACGAAATAGACAGGCTCGCCGCCAAAGTGTGTCGTTCCTGAAGAGGAAAGAAGAGCATGCCGGGAAACGAGACACAAAGAACACAGTCTCATTCTCGTGTGTTCTCGCTACATACCGTATTTGTCGGAGTGTAGTGCGCACCTTTGTATAACGCGCACCCCCAATCTTCATTGGGGGTGCGCACTTCAATCTTCATCGAAGTACATGCATTTCATATTCGGAGCATAGTGCGCACCTGCGATTTAGGGCCTAAAATAGCACATCTAAAGTGCACACTATACTCCTGAAAATACGGTACACATGTGATCACATGTGATACCGGTCCATCATAATGCCTACATACACAATGCAATGCAAGTCCGCTGGAATGCCTTCACTGACAAACACACAATGATGACAGCCATTGGGGGAAGTGAGAATACTCGAGTTGAAGACACCAAAAGGCTCAAGTCGGACTCATACTCAGACATAGACTCCTACTAAATCAAATCCTACAAATTTGGCGTAGCTTCCGATGTCTCCACACGTAATAGTAGGCACTTCAGTCACGTGACATGACCTGTCAAAAAGTACTAACTCTGAATCGCGTACATGCGTGGCACCAAGGAAAGGCGCATGCATAGATCGATCTGTAGCTGCACGGAAGCTGCGCAGGGCCTTCTCGTGTGGCGCAGCATGTAGCTGAGGCCCTCAGCTTTCGTTTGAGCCCACATACGTCATGATGCGGCAATTTTTTGAACTCACGTACAGTTCGAGTAAAATCGGCAAGGATTTTTCGGGCATTTCACTTGGTTGCACGCATTTGCCATGTAGCTCATCGTCTTCAGCGTCGTATTTCCTTTCGGGATCAGTTGTCCTCGTTCGTCCGACACTTTACGCATTGCTGCGCAAGGAGAAATAATGCGAGGTGTTATTGGAAGCGAACCGCGACAGGCGTCCTCCCGGCAATAGTCCTTGTTCGTCGGAGCCCATGCGCATGGCTGCGCAAGAAGAAATATTGCCAGGTGTTATTGGAGTCGCATCGGAGCAGTCGTCCTCTCCTGCAGGCGACGAGTAGGACAGTATATACTTCGGCGACTGGACCAAGAGAGCTGACATCAAAACGGCCTGCTCGGAACAAATCGTCAGCTGATCAGCAGGTGGCTTCCAGCGACCAAGAAAAGCATTGACGGTGATAATATTATACCAAGAATCCAGCACACACTCTATGCACAAAATCTCTCATGCTGGAGTTGCTGAAGTTTCAGTAGTCCCAAAAATTTGCAGACGATGTTCTATTGTAATAGTTTGTCATTTCTTTCCGTCAAATACCCGGTAAATTCTAGTTTGCTCAGTCTTCGGCTCATTGTTCTTCCGTACTCATCACCAAGTCAGTACTGTACATGTAGCAACAATGTTTTCTGGCACTGAATTATTGTAGTTACTTTATCTTTAATACCTCAAAGTCTCATCTTATGCTTTTCCGAAGGCTTCTCTGCACTGTTTTCATGCTGTTGCGATGGAGTTGCTATGCTGTTGCTATGGAGTTGCCATGGTGACCACACCCGATATCTTCGTCGGAGCTGCCGGACGGATGAAAAATCCGAAGTTTTTCCAAACCATGCTGTTTCTGCATTCATCTGGTTATTTTGACCTGCTTCCAGCGAGCCTGGTATTTTGCCACTATAGACACTGAAGCAAGTTCTGCCAATTTCTGATATGCTGCTGGTGCCGTCGAAATACTGAAAATGCCGTTATTCAATTCTCCGACTTTGGGTGGCTATAACTCTGTGCTAAGTTATTCTTTTTGCTTCAAATTTTCTGTGGAGTCTTCCTAAACCTATCTGAATCAGATACAAAAAAGAAATACGCGTATTTCTCGTTTTGAAAAAATCGCCTGAAGTGCCTAGTAATAGAAAGAGGCCATGTTTTTTTTCAAGTGCGCAATGGCACCAGTCTCGCTAGAATCTAGGAGCGAAGGACATGTGCGCGAAAAGAAGCGCGACATGATAAACAGGTTTTTCGACGGGGCGCGGAGTGCAAGTAGTTCACGCAGAGGGACTGCTGGACAAACGGAAGAAACAGCGAAAGAATTTTGGGAACAGTCAAGAAGAGAGAACAAAAGATGCCCGAACAAGAAAGTAACCATCTATCGATAACTCTATCGCAACACACACCACAGCAAGGCTTGTTCTAAATTCCTTGGCCTGTTTACCTTGGTCTGGTAACACACACGACTTTCCGGTAGAACGTGTCACAGGGCCCAGTCAGCCGGTAATGAAAATCTGGAATGCTGCAGCTCCCAAGCTTTGACAAAATTGATACTTTCGAACAACCCGGCCTACGTGAGGAGATATTTTGGAATTCGTGTGTTCCGGGCTGTGCCGGAGCTACTCGACCGAATGGCGGCCTTCCGCGTGTCCACGTAAAGCCCAAAGCCCAAAGGCGGAGCTCTCTGCAGCAATTCCGCCATTTCCTTCAACTGTCGACTTTCGCCGTCCTATTCGAAAGAAGAATGTCAGAAAACAACGGGCTTCGCAACAAAAGGACTAAAACTAAAGCGGAAAAGAAGTACTCACCTGAAAGCCTTGTTCTCGGAATATAGACAGCTCCCAAACTCGCACACCCACAGACAGTCACGACTCACGACTCGCGGACAGAAGTTGTTTCCGAAGCGAACAGAACTGAGCAACCAATGGCAATGGGCCTCAACGCGAATGACAAGGAGAAATGAACACGCGTTCTGCGTCCAGGCTCGTGTTTCCAGTGCTGGGCTGTGGACACGTAATAAGTCGTTGTTTAGCGCCCTTGCCAAGGCTGGGGTGAGAAATTTGGAACCAATAATAATTATCTGCGGAGCTAGCCTAGCCTAGCGCCTTCTTCGTTCAGGATAGACTACAAACTACCGTAACTAAACATTAGGCTTTTCATACAGGATCGGATTTCATCCAGTGGCACTTGTTAGAACAGTGCTGTTCAATGAAATCCGGTCACGTCACTCAAGTAAGTTTTCGCCTTGCACCATTTTGCAGCCTAGTGACAGTGTTGCCAGCTCTAGGGTTGCGCAACGCCCGGCGCGCACTTGAGTGACGCGATTTGATTTCATTGAGCAATACTAACAGTTGTAGACTGTAGTGTCATGTAGGTACATGTACATGTACAGTGAAACCTGTCTAACACGACCGCTCAAGGGACCTTCAAAATGTGGTATCTATTGTATTACCAGGTGGTCGCCTTATCCGGGGTCAATTGACTGGAAATAGCATCATTTGGTCCTGGTTCCAGTGGTCTTCCAGGACAGGTGGTCGCCTTATCCGAGTGGCCGCCTTGAAAGGTTTTACTGTAGTTCTACTACATGGTAGGTACAATTTAGGTGTTGGCGGATAATGCCGGCATTATATCGAGCATTATACACCACCCGGAGCATTACGAGCATTATAAAGCATTACAAGGCCAAAAATGGCATTATACGACGTTCTACATGACTGCATAGTAGATCTACTCACATCCTCATGTACAGATTCGTATCGGCTATAGCGTTGGTCTTTGATTGGCAACATTTATTACTATACGCGATGTGTTACTATAGAATAGTCTACAACTAATTACTTACAAGCGATAGACCACCGCACACATCATGCATGGTACCAAACAGATCGTGGCACGCAGTGCCTGGCCCAGCCTTCTGCATGCAGTATAGTGCTAGCTAGCTGTGGTCCAGCACAGTGTGGAAACTCTCGCAGAAACTTCCGGTCCCGGAAGTCTATCTTCGGCCAGCAACTAACTAACAGTTACTATAAAATTAAAGGGGAAGTTAAGGCAAAAATTAAAATTTCACCAGTTGTAGTCTTCGGGGTGCTGAGTCGAATGGTCTTGGTCCGAGAAAGCTGAGACGCTCCCTTCCTACTTGAATCCCAATCGAACTCGCGTACTTCCACCGAAACTGGGTGACTGCGCCCTACTAGATGGGGATTTGTATGCAAAATGTCACTAAAAGCGCCGTTTCGTTCTTATAAAAGCACGGATGACCGCGATTGGCCCATATGTTGTAGTCTTTTGGACGCTGAGTCGACTGGTTTTGGTCCGAAAAGGCTGCGATGCAGCGTTCCTCCTTTATTCCCAATCGAACATGGTTGAACAAGCGGTCACGTGCTCCTGCGTACACCAGTCAGCTGGTCACCGTGCCTGCAGGGTACAGCTTACTAGCCTGTTTGACCTTTTTTGGGTGAAGTCCTGTAGGCCTTGACGGATTATGCTAATATTTTCGTGAAATTATGCTTTTCGCATTGCTGAAAAAATTGCAGAATTATGCTATTTTTATGCTAAAAGTTATCATATTATGCTGCATTATGCTCACATATGCTGCTAATGCATAATGGTTCTGTGCAAAATAACAGGGGGATTTTTTGTAGAGGGCGTTGTACTGCAGTAGCAAAAGTTCAACGTGGTCAACGCACCGTCCGACCTACATGTAGCTACGACCATCACTGATTGTAGTGGACTGGAAATGTTATCAAGGGAGTCGTAAACCTACAACTTCCTAGTGCATCTACATGTACTTGTACTTGTACTTGTAGAACATGTACAACTGTATGGAATTTGATGCGAACAGGCGGATTATTACAATTTTATGCGATTCGTATGCAATTTGCCTCGAATTATGCGATTAATCGATTTTGGTAGGAATTATGCGAAAAATTATGCTAGCATAATCCGTCAAGGCCTAAAGTCCTGTCACTCGAGTTGAACCTTGGTGTGAAAGTTGTCGCCTGCTGGCGTGGTGACCAGGTGATTTGGGCACCCAGGAGCACGTGACCACTTGTTCAACCATGTTCGATTGGGAATAAAGGAGGAACGCTGCATCGTAGCCTTTTCGGACCAAAACCAGTCGACTCGGCGTCCAAAAGACTACAACATATGGGCCAATCGCGGTCATCCGTGCTTTTATAAGAACGAAACGGCGCTTTTAGTGACATTTTGCATACAAATCCCCATCTACAATGTAGTAGGGCGCAGTCACCCAGTTTCGGTGGAAGTGCGCGAGTTCGATTGGGATTC